ATCGATAGTGTTTCGTTAAAACTTCCATAAAAATGCACAAAGGCAATAAATAATTAATGGAGAAGAATCAAGAAATATTCCTAGAGAGACAAATTAGATTCTAAAAACAAACCTTCTTTAGAAAGTGAACATAATGTATACAAGACACGTTTATACAATGTACTATTTTTCAATCCAATGATTTTGTTGTTGAAAGGGAAGTGACATTCAACTTTCAAGCAGGAAAATGGAAAGCAACTTTTTACATCATCAAAAGATCAATTATTTACATGTGGGGATAGCAATTCAAACCCATCCAACAGCTATTTTCCGAGAGGGGACCTTTAGTAGGGTTCCCCTAAAACCCTAAAACCCTAAAATAAGACTGGGGACAAAAAATTGACAAGGTATAAGACCAGCGAAATCTATACCCCAGTTAACGTACCTACGGGGGAAATTGCTTTAGTGGGAGAAGGCTGCAAAGTTTGAGTTGTATTTGGTGCCTGAACATTTGACGATGACTTCACTTGTCCATCTGCTACAAGAAAATATACAACCAAAGTTATACAAACAATTGACAAACTAGGGTCAAATAAAAAATATCAGGTTTTTGTGACGGTGTTACCTTGATTTCCAGTAGTTGCCTCCGTACCTGAAGAGAAATGAGGACAACTCAGCTGCCAAGTCAGCACAAATTAGAGAGATAACATGAAGATAATTAGGAAGTTAGTTATGATGGTTTAAAGTGTATTGAGGAAGATGCAATAGCCTATAAGTACAAGGCTAGCAGAATGTAATACAATCAATCAATTCTTTAGAAATACAATCAACTTTCTCTCACTCATTGTCTCTCTCTCCTCTTCAATACATTCTCTTTCTACATTTCTGTTTTTGCATTTCTTATAAACTCACATTTCTTGGTTCTGTTAATATGGTATCATCGCCGGAGGTCGATCTTTGGTGATTTGTTCGCTTTTCCGCTGCATGATTTGTAGTTGTTCGGTTTGTTTGGATGATTTGCTGCTTTTGGTGAAGTTCTTGGTGCTCGAATTATGAAGTTTCAACAACGCGAAGGTTTGTGCACTCTAGCTGTTTGTTGAATTGTGTCAGTGAGTACTTCTTTCTGTTAGATGAAATTCAAGGCCGATTGCCATTATTAGTTCGAAATTGTGACGAATTACATGGTTGATAGTCATTACGGGTTGATATATTCTTGCTGATTACTCCATTAAAGGCCGATTGCCGGAGTTTGAAACTTTGATTGAAGGCCGATTGCCATAGTGATTGTAGTTTCTTGTCATTTCTCTTCTTTGAAGGCCAATTGCCGAAAAGGGTTTTGTTTCTTGATAGAATTTTGTTTGTTGAAGGCTGATTGCCAAAGTGAAATTGTTTCTTGATTGGTGGGATTTTGTTGTGTAATCTTGATCTATGTAAGTGTAAAGTGTTTGGTCGAATTTCTTGATTGTGAAAGGTACAAAATTTGGTAATGGTTGAGAATACAATGGAATTGGTGAAAATTGAAGGTCTTCTAGGAATGTTGACTGTGAAATTGCAAGATGACAACTTTGTTAAATGGAGTTTTCAGTTTCAGTCTGTGTTGTGTGGATATGATCTATTTGATTTTTTTTTTTTGTGATAATCCATGTCCACCAAAGTTTGTTATTAATACTGAAACGGGTGTTACGAAAGATATTAATGATGCATATAAGAGCTGGGTTAAAAAGGATATGGCGCTGCTTAGCTTGTTAATTGCAACGTTGTCTGATGATGCAATGGAACACATTATTGGTTGTAAAACTTCTCAAGATGCTTGGACTTGCTTGCAAGATAGATTTGCTTTGCTGTTTGTCGCACAGATTAATCAGTTCAAGACTGAATTCTACACGGCACAGAAATGAGCAGATTTAGTTGATAAATTTTTACTGCGATTGAAATCCATTCGAGATCAACTTCTTTCTGCAGGAGAAAAGGTTTCAGATAATGATTTGGTTATAGCTACTTTGACAAGTTACCACAAGAGTTTGATATGATCAAAATTGTGATCTTGGCAAGAGACACATCAATTTCATGGAAGGATTTCAGAGCATAGTTGTTAAGTGCAGAATTGGCTAATGAATCCAGAATTTCTTCTCTAACAAATTCTATGTCTACAATGTATGTACATGGTGAAAGCTCTAATTCAAAGAGTAATGGAGGACAAGGAAGATATCAAGGGGAAAGCTCAAACATGGGATCTGGTAGTTATCAAGGGGGTTCAAGTCAAAGGCCTTATCCTTCTCAGAATAAAGGGTCTTATAATTCTAACATATATGCTTCTGGGAACAGTTCTTCAAGGCCATACTTTGGGAATCGATACAAGGGTACTAATGGTTTTAATCAATCTGGATTTAATGTCTCTACTGGTTCTACTTTCACTAATGGTTCAAAACAAGGTAGTAATTGGCAAGGTTGGAGTGGCAATACAAACTACAAATCGATAGTGTCACCTGAATGTCAAATTTGCTCTCGAATGGGGCATACTGCACCAAATTGTCACTTTATGACTGCCAATTCTCAGAGTACTGTGTATGCTCCACCTTTGATTTGTCAAATATGTGGGAAGAAAGGGCACATTGCTCTTGAGTGCTACCATAGAAACAACTATTCCTATCAACCCTCTGCTCCACCTACTTTAATAACTGTAATGACAACACAAGGATCTCACGAGTTTATTCCTAACAATGAAGCACAACAACTTCATGATTTCAATAGTGCAGACACATAGGTGCTTGATACTGGTGCAACACACCATATGACAACGAATCTGGAAAATTTGATAGAAAGTAAAACATGTTGGATCTGCAGTTCTATTTAGTAATGATCATTTCTTAAATTTAAAGAATATATTACATGTTCCTAGTATAACTGTGAACTTCTTATCAGTTAAGAAATTATGTCATGACAATGGATGCTGGTTTATATGTGATTATCTTGTGTTTTTCATACATGACAAGGTTCCAAAGGTGATAGCGTACCAAGGAAAGAGTGATGGGGATTTGTTTACTATACCTGTGACAGTATTTTCAAGAAGTTTCTCTGCTGCTGGAATGAATAAAGACCTGAAAGCTGGTATGCTTGGGAAAGTGGTGAAGACATCAATATGGCTCAAGAGGCTTGGACATCCATCTAAGGAAGTCTTGTCAACAATGTTAAAAGCTTCTAATGTCTCAGTTAGTATAGATTCATCTAAATCTGTATGTTCTTCTTGTGTTCAGAGCAAAATGTGTAGGCAGTCTTTTGATATTAGACAAAATAATGCAAGTTGTATGTTTCAAAAAGTACATTCGGATGTATGGGGGCATTCTCCAAAGATATCAATAGAAGGATACATATACTATATCAGTTTCATTGATGAATATTCAAGATTCTTATGGATATTTCCTCTAGTCAATAAATCTGATGCTTTTGTTGCCTTTGTGAAATTCAATGCATTTGTTTCAACTCAGTTCAATACTTCAATTAAATGTCTCCAAACAGATGGAGGAGGTAAATACATGAGTAAAATGTTTACTAAGTTTCTGGAATCAAAAGGCATTGTACACATGGTTTCTTGTCCCTACACACCTCAACACAATGGCCTAGCTGAGAGGAAGCATAGGCATTTAGTTAAGACTACACTTACTCTAATGTCAAAAGCTTCTCTACCATCTACATTCTAGTATCACTCTTGTTCATATGCATCATAATTTATTAATAGGATGCCTTGTAAGGTTTTGGGAATGCAATCACCATATCAGAAGTTACATAATGTTGCACTAAATATTCAATACTTGAAATTTTTTTGGACAATAATGTATCCTCTTCTTAGACCATATAATGATCAAAAGTTACAACCAAGATCAGTTCCATGTGTTTTTCTACGATATGTTATGGGATACAAGGGGATCATTTGCTACAATATTAACACTCGGAAGTTCATCATTTCCAGACACATTATTCATGATGAATCTTAATTTCCATATAAGTTGAAGATAATGTTGTAGAATAAAGGCATTCATGGGTCTCAATTCAGGTCTCAAACACCAGTAATAGTTCAAGTTCTAATACCAGGAATACCAATGCATCAGAATTCATAAGTGAAATACTCCTCAGGTTGAAGATGATATGTCTGGTTCTATGTCTCAGGACAGTCTTCTGTCAACAAATGGATCAAGGTCACATGTCTCTTCATCAACCAATGATTCACATCACTCATTCATACATCTTCTTGGTACAACACCAATGCTACCTGTCATAATGAAGCACAATTAGAGGTAATTCTCCATATCACTTCTGATTCATTATCATCACAAGGTTATGATTCAGAAATTATCACTTCTATACATCTAATGGTTACAAGACTCAAAAGTAGGGCTATAACACAGAAAAGCTATATAGGCTACTTTACTTCATTGTCTGAGTTACAAAGCTTGCAAATTAATGAGGAAGAACCTCTGGTTGCTGGATATTCATATGTTGACTCTATTAGTGATGTTGTAGAACCATCTACTTTTAGAAAAGCAACAACTATACCTCATTGGCAGTTAGCCATGCAAGAAGAATACGATTCTTTAAGGGCTCAAGGCACATGGCAGTTGGTTCCACCACCTAAAGACATGTCCATAATTGGTAGCAAATGGGTGTATAAAGTTAAAAAGAACCCAGATTGATCAGTCTTAAGGTATAAGGCAAGATTAGTGGCTCAAGGATTTTCCCAAGAACAAGGAGTTGATTTTTCTGAAACATTTAGTCCAGTAGTCAGACATATAATTGTGAGAATATTACTGGCTTTGGTTGCAATTAATCATTGGGAGCTAAGACAATTGGACATCAAAAATGCCTTCTTACATGGAGATTTACAAGAAGAAGTTTATATGAAACAACCTCAGGGGTTTGTTGATCGAAGTCACCCAACACATGTATGTCGATTGATTAAGTCTCTATATGGCTTAAAATAAGCTTCAAGAGCTTGGAATTCGAAATTCACAAGTTATTTGCCAGCAATGGGTTTTAAAGCTTCATCATCAGATTCCAGTTTGTTTGTTAAACAAGATGGTGCAGATGTTATCATTCTCTTACTTTATGTAGATGATATAATATTGACTGGATCTAGTTCACAGAAGGTACAAGAAGTAATAACTGAATTAGCTGCAGTGTTTAAACTAAAAGATATGGGCAGATTGACATACTTTCTTGGATTGCAAGTTCAGTACAAAGTAAATGGGGATATCTTTGTACGTCAGTCCAAATATATTAAAGATTTGTTGCACAAGGCTGGGATGGACTCGTGTAAACCTGCAACTATTCCATGTAAACCTCATAACTCATTAATACTCAATGAAGAAGAAGTGCTAGCTGATCCAAGTTTGTATGGAAGTTTAGTAGGCTTACTGCAATATCTAACTTTCACAAGGCCCGATATAGCCTTTGCAGTGAATTTAGAGTGTCAGTTTATGGTATCACCTACTAAAATGCATTTTGGAGCTGTTAAATGCATATTAAGGTTTCTTCAAGGAACAATGCAGCATGGAATTACATTTTCAGCAAACACAGAGTTAGGCATCACAGCCTTTAGTGATTCAGATTGGGCTGCAGATTTTTTAAATACCAAAAGATCTGTGATTGGCTATGTTGTGTATATTGGTTGTAATCTAGTGTCATGGCAATCCAAGAAACAATCTTTAGTTTCAAGGAGTTCAACAAAGGCAGAATACAAGGCTCTTGCTCACACAGTTGTAGATGTTGCTTGGATTCGAGCAATTCTCCAAGACGTGAATGCATTCCTACCGGCACCTCCAGTGATCTACTGTGATAACAAGTCAGCTATTGCATTAAGTGTTAATCCTGTGTTCCACTCATGAATCAAACATTTGGATACGGACTATCATTTTGTAAGGGAGTGTGTACAACAAGGAGATCTCATAGTTCAATACTTGTTTACTGATGATCAAACTGCTGATATCCTAATTAAAGGTCTTCATAGTCCACTCTTTCTCAGACATTCATACAATCTCAAATTGGGAACCCCAATTGAGATTGATGGGGGATGTTGGCTGAAGAGAAATGAGGACAACTAAGTTAACACAAATTAGAAAGATAACAGAAAGATAGTTAGGAAGTTAGTTACGGTGGTTTAAAGTGTATTGAGGAAGATACAATAGCCTATAAGTACAAGGCTAGCAGAATGTAATACAATCAATCAATTCTTTAGAAATACAATCAACTTTGTCTCACTCATTGTCTCTCTCTCTCCTCTTCAATACATTCTCTTTCTACATTTCTGTTTATGCATTTCTTATAAACTCACATTTCTTGGTTCTGTTAATAGAATTCTCTCCCCTCCTAATCTTTCTTCCCTTTCCTCTTCTCCTATTTAAACGGTTACGATTAAACGTTAGCATCTTATATTGATTTTTTTATAGAGAGATTAAGACAAAAAGGAAAGTATGAGAGGAGAAGACGGAATGGAAGGGGATTCAGAGAAGAGAGAATCCTATTCATGTACCTGAAAGCGGGCCCTTCAATCTGCAAATAGACAATATCAAACACGAAAAACATTGAAACTCATCAATTGGCATGGACTGCCTGAAACTATAATCCTTGTTTGCATCATGAAGCATGTCACACGTCTAGCTGTAATGCCACTAAACATTCGACTAAAACCCATATCTCTGTCGAAACCCATACCACGAGTTACTTATCAATTAAGAACCAACCAAACAAGATACTTTTGATGTTTACTTATATGTTAGAATTGAAATTTGGAATCATCTTATTCTTAATTTTTGAGTTTTCTGCGTTTATTTAAAATGAGTCGGAAAATCATTTAACCTCTTAACTTTTCAGAAAAGTTGAGTTTCATCTTGGAAAGAGAACCTAATTGATCTGATTTCTTTCTTTAGTACTTCATCTTTTTCTTCGGCTCCTTCCCCATTTATGTTAAGTAAACATGTTCTTCAAGTATTCACGACAATATATACTATGTATCAAAGTTGCACCAATTTCGAATAGTAGTAGAATATTTTTGTTTATTTTTGTTTAGAACTAGTAAGCTAGCAAGGTATTTTGCATTCATGATGCACCTTGTGCTGTGACTTGTGAGTCGTGACTAGTTGATAGGGGAGGGAAGTACAGAGATTACAAACCCTACTCTCTTTGCATATATATATAGTCGTTGCAGGTTTGGGAGGCTTGAAAGGCATGCAGGTGCCTGATATCTCTGCATTTCGTTAATCATTTGTAGCGTGTGCCGATTAATCCTATTTTACAACATACTGCAGATTATGGCAGCGTTTTTCAATCGGTTTTTTGCAATAGAGCTTTTTCTGCATTGAGATTCCCCAGATGATGACTTAAGAGATGCATTAGTTATATTATATATAGCAACAATATCACTTCTTTTTTACTAAGGATTTTCGTACTTACGAATTCGTATCGTTCTCAACCAGGGTTTAACTAAATCATTAAAAATTATTACATTGAGTTATCATAAGTATAAAGTTTCATTAAAGATACACCAAAGGCGATATATCGTTCTCTTTAGGAATCAAGAAATATTCCTACATACAGACAAGTTAGATTCTAAAATAAGGAAAGAGATGCTCTCAGGATCCCTTCCACCCAGTTCATCAAGTCTACCCATCCGGACCATTGAAATTTGATCCAAAGACTACAAATAGGGGATTCTTTTAAAATTTATAATAACTTTAGCTGTTTAATCAAATTTCAATAATCCAAATGGGTGAACTTGATGGATTTGGTGGAAATGATCCAAAGATGATCATTTTCCCTAAAATAAAACCTTATTTAGAAAGCAAATACAGAGTATACAAGACACCTTTCTAAAATGTACTATTTTTCAATCCAATAATTTTGATGTTGAAAGGGTAGTGACTTTCAAGTAGACGGAAGGAAAGCAACTTTTTCCATCCTTCAAAGATCAATTATTTAAATGTTGTGGGGGTAACAATTCAAACCCATCCAACAGGTATTTTCCAAGAGGGGAGCTGTAGTAGGGTTTCCTTAAAACCCTAAATACGATTGAGGACAAAAAATTGATGAGGTCAAAGGCTGAAAGGCAAGCCTACTTGCCCAGAATGAGGATCCTTTCCAGATCATCTTTGTAAGGATCTCAAGAATCTTTCAATCACATTCGTTAATTATATATCGTACGGTAAAAAATCATTGTAAATTTTTTATTTAAAATTAACTATAAACAATATCTGATAAAAACTGACCGCATGATGTACAATGAACGGATGTGATTATCAGATCTCCGAGATCCTCACCAAGATAATTAAAAAATGATCCTCGCAAAGAGGATCCGTAGAGGATCCTCATAGTAGGAGCCAAGACCTGGTTTGATCCCTTTACAAAATCATCTCTCTCTCTCTCTATCTCCCTATCTCTCTCTAAAGAGTTTTCTGTCCCTAGCTCTTCCTCTTTGGTCCTTGTTACCTGGTGTAATACAGAACAAAACGTTCATGTAGGCCATCACAGATTTCCTATCTTTTACGTACCTTTTTCACCCACCTTGATTGGATTGTAAATCTCATAGAAATATGACAACTACTATGTGTTCGATTTCAACAGTACAATAATTTATTTGCACATGCACAAAGGAAACGAGAGAAGTAGACGAGACTTGCATTTTAGCTTCCTCATATCAACAGTAAGTTTGTAAACGAACAAAAATTCTGAGTCACTTGGCATGGGAAAGAAGATATAAGCCACCACAAAGCTCGATGCTGGGAAGATTTTACATGCACTCGAAGATATATTTTCACTCTTATAAGTTATCACACTTATTACATGATTTGCTTAGCTACTTAAGATATTCTTGCATGTAACTGGAGACATCATGTTTATGACTTTATAGTACTTATTGTTGAGGGTAGTACTCGAATGAATAAGGATGTGCCATGTGTTAACGATCGGTTAAGTTTGTTAGCCAAGTTGTTAGCCGAATTAGTTAGGGTTAGTTACTAATGACTTGCTATGCAAGTAATTGATAGCTAGCTATGATATATAAGGATTGTAATGATCTCATACAGTGTAATGAAAAATATAATCTGTTGAAGCAATATCTATCTCTTTTTTCTTCAATCTTCTCTCTTCTTCTCTTTCTCTTTATCTCTGTAAGCTTCTGCAACTCAATGGTTTACATGGTATCTTTGCCTGCATAGCTGATCGCTTATTCATCGATCTTGGCTGCTTCCGCTCACAGCGATTAATTGCTGTTTCTTTCTCTCTCGCCTTCTTGTGACTCCAAGATTTTTTCTTTCCTTCTTCTTCGTCTGGTTCTTGATTGCACGCAACATGCTTGATATAAGTCTCTTGCCAGTTTCTCTTTTGATTTCTTCATTTCTCGCAACAATGGTGACTTCTGCACAGCTATCAATCGCCTATTACTTCTTTGATTTCAACTGTATTGACATCAGTGACAATGATGCTTGATGATACGAACTATTTGACCTGGAATTTTCAGATGCAACTTCTTCTCGAGGGACATGGCCTCATGGGGTTTGTCGATGGCTCGTCTCCTTGTCCTCCACGATTTCTCACGGCTACATCATGCAACTCAAAAGTGAATTCAGGCAATTCTTCTCCTTCGGTTGAAAGTGATGATTTCAAGATTTGGAAAATGCATGATCGTGCATTAATGCAACTGCTTACAGCTACTCTTTCATCTTCGGTTGTTTCTTGTGTGATTGGGAGTGTTAGCGCTTGTGATATGTGGACAAGATTGAAGGAACATTTCTCCACAGTTACTTGTACGAGTATCTTTCAACTCAAATCCGATCTTCAGACTATCAAGAAAGGTGCTGATTCAATTACAACATATATGCAGCGAATCAAAGAAGCTCGAGACTATTTAGCATCTGCTGGTGTTTTGTTTGATGATGATGATATTGTTATCCTTGCTCTTGATGGTCTTCCGTCTGAATTTAACACTATTAGGTCCATTATTCGAGGAAGGGATAATGTGATCTCCATTAAAGATTTGAGGGCTCAATTGCTTGCAGAAGAAGCAATGATTGAAAATGCTTAAGCACCATCATTTCAGACTACAATGGTTGCTGGTACAAATGGGGGTCAATCAAAAGGGTCTTCCACTTATCAAGATTCGCTCTCTGGTGGTACTTACAATCATCAAGGTGGTCCATTTCCTTATAAGCCCTTTTTCAACAAGAATAAGGGAAGAGGCAACCTTCATTATGGTTCAAGATTTGGAAACAGGCCACCTTACAACAATGGAGCTCCTAGCTTTCTTGGATATTCTCCACCAAGACAACAGTTTTCCAACAACTCATTCATATCACCTTGCCATATATGTGGTAAATTTGGTCATCTTGCAGACACTTGCAGATTTAGAAACGTGGATGTTTCAACTCTCAATGGTTGTCAAATTTTTGGCAAAAAGAACCATAATGCGCAGTATTGTCATTTCAGAAATGCCAAAATCCAAGGTCACTCTCCTCCAGTGACTACCATGCATGCCACTACATAAGTATGGCTTACTAACTCTGGAGTGTCAATCACCATAAGTATGGCTTACTAACTCTGGAGCAACAAGTCACATGACTGCTGACTTGAATAATCTGTCTCTTGCCACTCATTTCCCATCTAATGAGATGATTCAGACAGCAAGTGGAGAAGGTTTGCATGTATCCCACAAGGGTTCTACCATTATGTAGATTTTTTTTCAAAACTTGAAACTTAATTATATTCTATATGTTCCCAAAATATCTCAGAACTTGCTCTCAGTACGTCGAATTTGTCTAGATAACAACTGTTGGCTGATCTTTAATGCATTTTGCTTTTGGATTCAGGACAAAGCCACATGGAGAATTCTGTTCAAATAATCTGTCATTCCATTTGAAATAGTGCACAGTGATGTATGGGGTCCTGCACCTTGTTTGTCTATTGAAGGGTTTAAATTATATGTAACCTTCATAGATAAATGTAATAGATTCTGTTGGATATTTCCAATTGTTAATAAAGCTTCTGTTTATGAAACATTCATTAAGTTCTACAACTTTGTGTTCACTTAATTTTCAGTCTCAATCAAGACATTGCAAAGTGATGGTGGGGTGAGTACATAGGAAAACAGTTTCAAGACTTCCTTATAGCCAAAGGCATCAAACATCAATTATCTTGTCCCTATACACCAAAACAAAATGGACTGGCTAAAAGGAAACATTGTCATATTATTGAAACCATTATCCCTTTTACAAACAACTCACTTACCTACAGAATTTTGGTCTTTTGTAGCTCAAACATCTGTGTATCTTATCAATCGAATGACTTCTTCAACCTTGAATCATAAATCACCATTTGAAATGTTGTATGCATCTGTACCTGATATACATCACTTAAAAATCTTTGGTTGTGCTTGTTATCCTTTTTTAAGACCTCTAAACACATTAAAGTTACAACCTCGAACCATTAAATGCATTTTTCTGGGATATGCATCAAAATATAAAGGGTATATATGCTATGATGTTATTAAAAATAGGGTGCATATATCTAGGCATGTCATATTTGATGAGGAGGATTTCCCTTATAAGGAACTCAGCTCTACACATGATTGTCCTATACTGTCACCATCACTTTCAGTGTCAAATCCACGAGTTGTCACACCAAACCTAGAAAATGTATTAGTAGTTCCACAACCTAATATTTTGTTCCCTTCATTTTCCAATGCACCTAGTCACTTAAACATTGAACCTATTTCTTCTCCCATTTCATCTGGTTCCATGCCATCTATCCCTACCTTATTTCCTGAGTCCATACCACCTCAATCCATTATTGCACATGAACAGAATATCTCAGTCTTAGATCCTGTGGTTCCTGAATTCCAGCCTAAGAATCTTCAAGTTGTTTTATCCATTCCTCCATTGAATTTGCATCCTATGCAAACAAGATCAAAGAATGGTATCATCAAGAGAATGGCATTGTTATCTACTGTGCATGAGAATGGTGGTGTTGATCTGAACACTATAGAACCTACAACTTATAAGTCTGCATTAAAGAGTTTAGTGTGGACTGAGGCAATGAGAGAAGAACTTTCTGCATTGCACTCTCAGGGGACATGGAGTTTGGTGCCCTTACCACATAACAAGAATCTAGTTGGATGCAAATGGGTGTTTAAAATCAAGAAAAATGCATATGGCTCAGTTGGGAGATATAAGGCTAGGCTTGTTGCAAAAGGGTTCAGTTAAGAGGAAATGATCGATTATGGAGAAACCTTCAGTCCAGTTGTTAAGCCTACTACTGTTAGGCTTGTCTTAGCTTTGGCCGCTCACTATGGATGGTCACTGAGGCAATTAGATGTGAAAAATGTCTTTTTACATGGCATATTGAAGGAGGAAGTTTACATGTCACAACCTCTTGGTTTTATTGACCCGCATTATCCAGATTATGTATGCAAGCTTCACAAATCTCTATATGGGTTAAAGCAAGCTCCAAGGGCTTGGAATGAGAAATTTACAACCTTTCTTCCATCCCTTGGTTTCATCTCCACTTATGCAGATTCCTCCTTATTTGTCAAACAAACTGGAAGTTCGATAGTTATTCTACTTCTTTATGTTGATGATATTATTATCACTGGTAATACATCTTTAGTGATTAATAAGGTAATTGGTGCCTTGACGAAAGAGTTTGATCTTAAAAACTTGGGGCAGCTTCATTATTTTTTGGGAATCTAGGTTATATCACAATCAGATGGCTTGTTTCTGTTTCAAGCAAAGTATATAAGGGATCTTTTGGCCAAGACAAATATGGAAGACTCCAAACCTTGTGCAACACCATGCTTGCCTTAAAACAGATTGGTACTTGATGATGGCAAACCGTATAATAACCCAGGATTATATAGGAGTTTGATTTGAGCATTGCAGTATCTTACATTCACTCGACCTGATATTGCATTTGCGGTGCATCAGGTGTGTCAATTCATGCAGAATCTAATGGAGCCACACTTTACTACAGTAAAACGAATCCTTCGATATTTGAAAGGCTCAGTTAACTTGGGAATCAAGTATGTTAAAGGTGATCTAGATGTGAGAGCATTTTCTGATGCAGATTGGGCTGGTGACCCCAATGATAGAAGATCGACAACTGGGTTTGTGGTGTTCTTAGGCTCCAATCCTATATCATGGTCCTCTAAAAAGCAACAAATTGTCTCACGATCTTCCACGAAGGCTGAATATAGAGCATTAACATCCACTGCTGCTGGATTAGATTAGATCAAACAGCTACTGTCATTTCTGTAAGTTTCCATTCCCTATCAACCAGTGCTCTATTGTGATAACATGTCAGCAATTGCCTTAACTTGTAATCATGTTCTTCATCAGAGAACAAAGCATATTGAAGTGGACGTTCATTTTGTTCAAGAAATAGTGAATAAAAAGCTGCTGACAATGCATTTTGTTCCTTCTACAGATCAATATGCAAATATTTTCACAAAGGGGTTGTTTGCTCCTCTCTATCAAACGCTTTGTCACAATCTCAGCCTTGCTGCTCCTACTGCTGAGCTTGAGGAGGAATGTTGAGGATAGTAATCAAATGAATAAGGATGTGCCATGTGTCAAAGATCGGTTGAGTTTGTTAGCCAAGTTGTTAGCCGAGTTAGTTAGGGTTAGTTACTAATGACTTGCTATGCAAGTAATTGATAGCTAGCTATGATATGTAAGGATTGTAATTACCTCATACAATGTAACGAAAAATATAATTTGTTGAAGCAATATCTCTCTCTTTCTTCTGCAACTCAATGGTTTACACTTATCACATGGCCAATCTGTCGTGTACATGTTGCATTGTTGTTATAGTGCAGTTCTAATTTTAATTTTTTTAAATGTGAATGTGACGATAATTCAACTTTAAAGTTATCAATATATATCATTATTGATATATCGTCAAAAATGCAGTTAACCTTAACGTTATATATTTGTATATATTTATTGGTCAAGCTTAAAATTGCAGCACTTAATCATATAACATGACCAAGGGAATGCGTATAGCTCTATGTATAAGTTGCTGGAAAAAGATCACATACCAAAACGTGAACACTGATTGTAACAGAACCTTATGCCACTGGCAACTTCTGCTGGACTCTGACTCTTTCTGACTTAACATTTATTTTTGTCGACTTGTCCTGATGTGAATGACTCTTGTCTTTTTATTACAATTAAATATGCAAAATATATGATACGTTATCAACAAAAAATTATTAGGTTAATTCATACTTAAATAATAATTTAATCATTAATAATTATGTTATATGAGTATAAAATTTAATTTAAATAGACAGTCTTCTTAGCAATACTCATTTTAATTACATTCCGTTGACGGAACCTGCAGATCATCAAACATTTTCACTGTAATTGGAATTTATAACTATTTAACAAAATATAATTTAGATTATTGAATTAGTGTAAATACAGAATTAAGATATGCAAAATATAATAACAAAGTTTACAAATAATTATCAAATTGAAAAGGGTAGTAATCATCCAGAGTAGGGTCAGATAAATAAGGGCTATATGGATTAAGGTCATCATTGTGAAACCAAAATGAGTAGTCATTACTCATCATCGTCACCTCCGACATGCCACAAAAACCAACCTCACTTTTAGAGCCAATGTGGTTCTGGATGTTCATCATTTCCTCATCAAATCCATCAATGGTAGCTGCAGCTTCATGATCACCAGAAATATTGGAATTGGAATCGGAATTAGGAAGTGGTTGCAACTCGGAGTTTGACTCTGATGAGGGTATGCAGAAATTATTTTTTGCTCGTTTTGAGTCGGAATAAGTCTTGGTTTTTGTCTTTCCTCTTTTTGAACCGACACCGAGCTTCTTGCTCAAATGACTGTTCCAATGGTTCTTGACTTGATTGTCAGTTCTCCCAGGAACACGGCCAGCAATCAAAGACCACCTAATTAGACAAGAAATAATCATCCAAGATCGAATATCAACTTGGAAACTATATACAAATAGAACCGGAGGAACACTAAGCAGATAATAAACTATGATTTATATACGATTTATTGTCTGTTTAGTATTTTCAGTTCTATTCTCAAGTAAAGTTATTTCTTTTTGGTTTTTTGTGGGTTAATTGGCATACTTGCAAAGAAATATATGCATGCACACATCAATTGTGCAGCTGTAGTTGTCCAGTATTAATTACGATGTACTACACTACAGAAAATAATGGTGAAAAATTAATTGCAGTGGACGCTTCCCAGTATTATTTGTTGGGACTTGGGATCCACAATGGAACGCCAAGAAAGGTATTCAACAGTGATTACTCAAAAAACATTCAACAGTTATAGTAAAACTTTTGCAGGAAAATTGAAGACCGAAAGAAGCAAGTTAATCATGCAGAAATCATAGATTCCCACCAACCTTTCGCATATGTAAAGTTGACATGCTTAATTACTACGTACTAATTGTTCTGCTTGAACTGCAATTACAAGTTTCTGCCTCCATCTACCGGTAGGCTCGTTTATTTTGAAAATTTTCCGAGATTAATTTGTTTCCTAAATTATTTTGATGAAAGAGCTAGGTTATGGACGAACCTGTTGCCAATGAGGTTATGGAGTCGAATGATGAGATCATCTTCTTCCTCCGAGAAGTCACTTCTCTTCACGCTGGGACTTAGATAATTCATCCACCTTAATCTGCAACTTTTGCCGCTCCTCTTCAATCCTAATGCAAAGTTAAACATGCATTAATATACATGTTTGTGTTATGAACTTAATTACCCAAATGATTATATATTATTATGTGGTAATTAATTACCTGTGACTTTATTGACACGATTCCACTTGCCTTTGCCATGCACCCTGATGTAATCCGTCAGAATTCTGTCCTCCTCCACTGTCCAAAGACCTTTCTTAGACTCATTCCCACCTTCCATTTTTGCAGCTCTTGCAAAGCAGGAAAGCACGAGAGAGAGAGAGAGAGAGAAGAGAGAGAGAGAGAGAGAGAGAGAGAGAGAGCTTTTGTTAGAAGTCTAATGAATGCGGTGGCTTATCTGACGGATATGTGCTTGTGCTTATATATATTAGAATTGCATTGGTCTATTAACTATTTTGAAATAAGAAAAGAGATTATACATTTATACTTCTGCAATAATGAAAATTATTATGATAATATTTTGATTTCTCTCTCTTCTCGGTTTATTCCTACCTAGTCCTTCTGATGGTGTGGAGAAGAAGGAAGAAATAGGAAGAGAGTCCAAATGAAAATGAGATTCAACTTGTATGATTCATAGAGTTCTTGTAGTCACGTATCTTATTTTCTTTTCTAATCTTTAGACATTTGAGGATAAATAAAATATCAAATTTTGGATTACAAACACCAAAAATATTTTTTTATTTTAAAACACATTTTGGAATTGGGGTGAAATGGAGGAATTACAGGCACCACCACCATGGACCCGAACATCACCAGAATGCTCCAAATCAAACTAATGACCTTCACCTGTATTTAGATCCTTTAGAGCCTTTAGATTTAATCCAACTATTGTCAAAGAAAACTGAATAGTTATTGGATTGCATACTCTTGAGTATTGTAGATAAGTTTATGGTTGTTGATGTATGTGTTTGCTTTTTTAAAAGTGTAGTTACCTGTATTGTAAAAAGCTGTTATGCAGTAATGTATAATGACTAGTTTTTTACCACATGCTTACGCGGGCGACATTTCTGCCTTTTTTTTCAAAGAAAACTGAATAGTTATTGGATTGCATACTCTTGAGTATTGTAGATAAGTTTATGGTTATTGATGTATCTTGCTTTTTAAAAGTGTAGTTACCTGTATTGTAAAAAGCTATTATGCAGTAATGTATAATGACTAGTTTTTTACCACATGCTTATGCGTGCAACATTTCAGCTTTTTTTTATTTTTTTATTTATGCTTTTTGTCTGATAAAATACTATTTATAATCTATTTATAATCTTATTATTTTGTTTTTAAAATTTTACTTTTTTTAGTTATTATTTTTTTTATGAAAATATATTTTAGCAAAATAGTAAATTTATTACCCCACAGCCCCACTATGTGGGTGGTTTTTTTTTTTTTTTTTTTTTTTTGTTAATTTGTTTTTCCTTTTGAAACTTAATGAGAGATGGGAAAATTTGAAATTATAAAAACTTCATTCTTTGCGTTCTCCCTTATACATACACCTGACCTTATATGTTATAAGTAGGGAGAGAGAGAAAAAAAAAAAAATATATATATATATATATATATACATATCATCAAATCATCACATATTAATATTATCATATCATCAAATCATCACATCATCACATCATCAATCATCACATCATCACATCATCACATCGATTATGTATGGACAGGAAAAAGCTATGGCTTCTGTGGCAAACGGACCAATTTACATATTATCAAATCATCACATCGATTGGATGCCAGTGTTGTCATTACCAAAGTCGTCAGTCTCTCTCCTTTATCTCTTTCTTTTTTGTTTTTTTATTTTTTTATTTTTTTATTTTTTGTCAGCTTCTTTATCTCTTTCTCGAGGTGCATACACATATAGACGTAGAAGAAGCTCCATTATTTGGCTGAATCCAATTAATGAAGTTTTGATCCTCTTGGCATGTATGGACAATGTAAACATTATTGTAAGGCCAACAAAATATTGGTAAGGTATCCCATTCATCATTAGGAAGGAAGAGAAAAAAAAAATTAACCTCCCCTATTATATTATAACAAAGCTTTGTATATCTGCATTATCGTATTATAATGGTACTTAAACTATGTTCAAATTGATTATTCAAATATTTTTAAAGGTTAATCAATTTGCCAGAGACGTCTTAATTAATCTAATGATATTTCTCTTTCAAATGTTAGAAAGAGTTTCAAAACTCAGCTCTCCGTGAGTTTATTTCTTTTGAAAATCATGGAATTGCAATCATAAAGCATTTCTAAGAGCAAGAAATGTTCTTCTCATGGACATGTATGGCAGAAACACAAAGACAAATCACATAAAAATTCAAAGTTCTCCATGAAAAAAAGACAAAGCACATGCATGAAAGGAATATAGCAGCTATATATGTCCAGACGTATGTTCAAATATGAAAAAGAAACCAACGTGAGACAGATGGATTACCAAATAAAATAAAGAACAAAAAATAATCTATGTGATACACACATTGGTTTGTTTCAGTATGAAGACAAAATTTGCGTATTGTCTTTTCCTACACACAATATTAATGGACTATTGTTCTTTTGCTGATCAAATACATCGTGTACAGTCTCTTTCCATCGATTGAATCTCAAACCTTATATTACTTTCAAGAAAATATGAAAAAAAAGGGAAAAAAAATCTTTATATATCTTGGTTAGGCTTATATTCGCATGCATGAAATGGTGATACATTTTCGTTTTGTATATGTTTGTTTAACTTTCACTTTTTTTGGTCATGCTGGTTTTTTGCTTATATGTTCGTTTGCATGAATGTTTAAACTGTACACACAAATCTCTAGGCAAACCTTATGAATCATGCGTGACGTGTGAAATGAGAAATTTATTATTGTACCCAAAACACAAGTGGTACAGTACTTTTCATTATATAAGTGGAGAAAAATTTTATTTTCTAAATTATTAATTTTTTAACATAAATATTTCATCATTTGTATAATAATACTTGGCACTTATGTTTCAGGCGAAACCTCTCCCTTAAAAAATGATGTAAGAAACTGAATAAGATTTTCAAATGTTGGGCAGATGATGATGGACTACAAAATTTCTGGATTTTGCGTGTACTTTTTCAGTTCTCTGAGACTATCTTTTTTCCAACCTAGAATTCTTGTGGGGGGGAGAGAATCTGATTCTGGGGCTAGTACTAACTCACAAATTGAGTTGAGCTAGTTCTGCTGCTGCATAATGGTAAAAGGCAATAATTTGATGTATATGAAATATATAATTTTTATGTTAACCGAAGAAATCACAGTACATATGAGATTCAAAACCCAGGTGATATACAATTATTTGCTCCATTATTTTTGCACTTTCCAGTGGAAGCTAGCTAGCCTCTGATCCCACTGAAAGTGACTAAACCATCATATATTTTTCTACGAAATAGAGATCCACATGGTAGTTTCTCTAAAGTTTTTACATAAAATGACTTGGTTCTTTTCTTGACCATACTTCCCAAAACTTCCACCGACATATTATATTCAAAAGATACTGCTTGGTTTCTTCATGGGCCCTAGCTGTGTGATACATATGCATAAATATCTTGTCAAAAACATAAAAAGAAAATTTTTCACACATGTGTTAAACTGTTATTTACATTCAAACGCTTAAGTATGAATGGCGTTTTCAAGAAACGGAATAACGAGCAAAGTATTTTTTCCATAATGTAATGTTTCAAAGTTCGCATGCATGCATGCAGCAGAGATCATAACCTGCTTGAACTAGTGGCACTTTTCAGAAAATAAAAACGAGAATCCACCAGCATTCAACTGAGTCGTCATAAGTCAGCAGAAACTCTTACGCAATCGAATTAAAAGAATAAAAGAAAAAGAAAAATTACCGAGAGAGAGGATCTAGGAGGCTGCAAAAAACAAGATCCAATATGTTTGGTCCGAGTACAGAGAGTGGGACTACGCAAACAGGGAATGTACTTTATAAAACCATAATTATGTATCATGACTTTTGTGTGGAATTCGGATCCTCGCCGGATTCTCTTTCTCTTTGTGTGGACTAACACAAAGGCACATTGAGCGAGAACCTCCGGCAACAAATTCACGCCAAACTTCCAATGTAATAACTCAGAGAACTTGCACTGGGAATTGGATCCTCTTCTGAGCTTAGGATGAGGATCTTCCTAAGCAGTTTATTCAGGTTGTTGAAATTTGATCTAACGGCTCCAAACAGATGGTCCTTTTAAAATTTATAATAATTTCAGCCGTTGAATCAAATTTGAACGGTCTAGATAGGCTGCTCATGAGGATCCTCATCCTGAGCTCAGGAGGGACAAGGATTGTCTGCCCTTCCTTTTTCCATGCCCTTCCATGCTCTCTTGTTTGTGTGGTCACGGTTAAACCACGTCAACATTTTATATTACTATTCATTTTTGTCTTATTATCTTTATAAAAAATAATATAAAATATTAACGTAACTTAACCGTAATCACACAAAATAGGAAGACATAATAAAAAAGGTATAAAAAAAAGAAAGGCAGACAATCCTCGAGGACTCAGTTCCCTTGCACTGCATGCATGTGACTCATTGCAGATGCAGTTAATGCTTGAGAGTTGAGAGCTTGTATCTAGGCCCACTGTTTTAGCCACGTGTTAGCCAAAGCCCGGAGAAGAAAGTAATCATTCAGATTGCAGAGACTAATTGCTAGTCTGTCAACTTTGTTATATGTGATGTGTCTAGTCAAGTAAAGAGAAATATAGATACGTTATGTAGTTATATACAATCCGTCACGTCAAAATTGATATTATTATACACACAACACTCATAAAGCAGTTCCAACTAGAGAAGTCAAGTTCGGAGAGCTAAAGCCTTTGTACCTCTTGATATATAGAAACTACCATGTGGATACTCGTAGCATGAACATGGCAAAGAGTGCTAAAACCCTAGCTAGATGCATACTCGTACAATATCTAGTTTTTTTTTTTTGGTCATTGGAAATCCATTAAAAAGCAACAAGAAGAAGGGAATACAAAAGACTCCTTAAAAAAGGAGAAGATAAGCACATCTCTTACAAAAATCAGGAACATACATGTTCCAGTAAGTAAGAAGTAACTATCTAGCCAAAAAGGTTACCAAAAAATCAACCTACACCCGAGATGGAGGGGCTATTCCCACCCCATATGGGGATTAAACAGAAGGGGGACAAGGGAGGCCATCCCTAGACAGAACATCGACAAGAGAGGGAGGGGGCACAGAGTCCCATTCCGAAGAGCACACCCTCTGTATCGCCAAGGATGCAGCTGCATGAGCTGCTTTGTTTGCTGACCTAGGAGTCCATTTCCAATGAAGAGAAGAGAACAAGCAAGCATGTCTCCTTATTTCTTCCACAATTGGAATGATTTTCCACAGACCTTTCAAGTTTCTTTTCTGAATAATGTCCATAACATTTTTGCAATCATTTTCCAAAACCACATTACGATGACCGCTAGAAGCCGCAAGTTTCAAACCTTCAAATATAGCTTCAGCTTCCACTTCTAGTGGA